GTATACATTGAAATAGGAATAATATTTTAGGTAATATGTTCATTTTAATTACGGCAATTCTACCCATGAAAGAAAGCTGAAGATTTGTCCAGGTGCCCAAGTCTGTTTTAATCTGATCCATTAATTTGTCATAATTGTCTCTTTTAATTGTTACACACCTAGCTGTTAAATGTATCCCTAAATATCTTATTTTCTTTGTTATCTGAATACCTAATTTATCAGCTAGTTCATTTTCCTGTGATCTTATCATATTCTTCAGAAGCATTTTGGTTCTAATAAATTACTTTTCAATGGGTGCAATGTCATGTTGCAACAAGTTAAGCTTTATTAGTGTTTGACTGATGCATGTTAATTTTTTTATTTACTTTTCTGTCTTTATGAAATATTTATAGCCTATTTTTCTGCTTCAATATCCTGGGACAGTTGAAAAATCTATTTGCTTTATATGCTTTATGCCAGGGGTGTCAAACTGCCAGTGCGCCGGTCGGATGCGTCCTGAGGAAACCGCGCCTACCCCATTACCAGCTTTATGCTGTTATAGATGTCATCTTCAGTCCTAAATATTCTTACTTGAAATAAATAAATGTGATCTGCAATTCTAAATATGCATATTGATTAAAATACAATGCCACAAATCATTGTTCTTGGATAGCAGAGGAATATCCTTATTAAAATGTTGTCAGTCTGCAAAATATCCACCAGTGATTCCCTGAACAAAAATACTCATTCAAATATCACTCTTAAAATATAAAAGAATTAATGAATTGTTTCATATTTCTCAGTTCCTGAGATAACTGAAGTTATGTGGAAGCTTTATGAGATTACTAATGTTTCAAGGAAATGTTGTTGGAAACATGTTGACTGAAAATAGTAGAAATTGAGATCCAAAACCTGAAGGAATCCAATTTAAGAAATGCTAAGAGCTAGAGAAAGCATGTGTACCCAAAGAGACAAACATCACACACAAAGATATTTGTGTGAATTCCTAATTCAGAAGCATTGAAAATTGAACCAAAGCATCGTGACCCTAAGATACATCTTAATATATTTGTAGGTTCCCACTGCGGATCAGATGTAGATCCAATAAAAATGGTGGAATATCTTTTCCATGTATTTGAAAAAAATGTATATAATTGCATTAAAAATAACTTTAAGGTCTGTTACTTTAAAGTAGTCATTTTCAAATGTTGTCTCCTTAGGTCCTTACCAGTTGTTTACTAAGAAATAGTTGCATTCTGAAGGTGTCCAAGGCTAATGGACCTGGATAGTTTGCTGAAAAAATTGATTCTGTGCCCTGGAATGACTCCAATACTCCCCTGCAGCTGTGAAAGATGGGAAAATCTGGTTAAGAGCTTTCTTTCAGGGACCTGTTTGCCATTATTCATTTTTTTCATTAAAGGGTCTTTACTAGGTCTATGTGAAACCAAAATGCTCCTTTAAAAACAATTGAAAGTAACTTGAAAATAAGTCTTTTAAAACTACATGATATGTATAAATCAGTATGACATTTTCCAGGCAAGTGAAAAAATATTCATCAAATATTTAATTTGCATTTTAAAATAAAAGTTAGCGTAGAATGGATACATAGGTGTAATACTCTCCCAATTTCTTTTTTAAAAGTAGAATGCAAATAGAAGGATTTTGATTTTAATTGAATACCAGCACTGACGGATGAAGTTCCTAATCCTTTCTGCCCACGCTATTTTTATTACCAAAATCTACTCGTAACACAGCTGCTTTCCCATCTGCAATGGGCAAACATATGGATTCCTTTGCTTTTCCCTGCAAGTGAGAAAGCAGATGGAGAGGTAGAAATTTTGGTGACAAAAATAGAAATCAGATTTGATCAACAAGATTTCTGTTAAGTAGAATAACATTTCTTCTAATTGTTCACATAATTGTTCACAGTTAAATGTTATTTATTTTGATTCCTTTAATCAACAGAAGATGTGTGGAGAATTTAAATTTGCTTATATGAAGGAGCTTGTCCACAGATAGATAGACTACAAGGAGAGAAAGAGAGATCGATCGTAGCATAACAAGTGGATAGTTTAGTGGTTGGAACACCACCATACTGGGTTTAAATCATGTTGGTATCTACCTTACCAGTAGAGATCCTTGGGCAAAGACACCCCCCCCAAACATTTCACCTGCCTAACTCGAATATGAGAGTGACATGAACTAAAAGAGTCATGTTAATTCAGACATCACCTAGATCAGGGTGTCAAACTGCCAGCCCGCGGGCTGGTTTCATCGTACCAAAGCCGCGCCCACCAGCAATGCAAAAAGAATCGCAATACGTTGCGACACGTCACGTGACGTGGCGAGTTTGACACCCGTGACCTAGATTAACAAAATGTATGCCAGATTTTGGGGAACCAGGATAAACTGACAATAAGTGGGCTACTGAAAGGGTCAAGTCAAGAGAACCTGGAATTAACAGAACTCTATACAACAATGAGAGGAATAAATTAAATATTTGAGGGAACTATGAATGGACAGAAAGCCTACATAAGAGCTATTTACCCAATGCTTTAACAACGCTTCAACATAGTGAGAAGGAAGCTGCTCTCACAACCTGAGATAAACAATCACATCCCAGACTCAAGAAGATCTGAAAGAACAACTGGATGTGCAGCCAACACCTAAAGCTTGAATGTCACTGCTATTCCCTTCATTACACAGCAGTTGTTATGAGGCATAATATCATGGATAAACTAGCTACAATCAACCCTTGAGGCTAATTACCAAGGCTCAGTGAAGAAGTACCATCAGATGGTATGCTAGAAGATGCCAATAGAGCCCTCAAGACATACCTTACTACCACTGAAGAACCATGCAAAGTGTATTACCAACTGCAGTGCAGCAACACAGTAATACCAGAGTCACCAACAGCAGAATGTGAACAGTACTAAAAGAACATATTAGAGAAAAAGATGACACATAGTACCAAAGTGGCTGGAGCACCTGAGAGCAGACCACAGCAACAGGAACCAATCACCACCACGGTAGCAAGCATCCAACAGTGGGTCAAGAACATGAAAAGATGGAAAGCACCTGGTCCAGGTATGATTCATGCCTACTTGCTGAAGAACTTATAGCATTGCATGAACACCTAGTAGCACAGATGAACCATTTGCTAGTAACAGGTTCCCACCTTGATTAGCTAAAACAAAGGACAGTGTGGTCATGAAAGATCCCCACAAAGGAACAGCACTATCCATTTACCGGATGATAACCTGCATAGCCATAACATGGAAAGTCCTATCATAGCTGCCAAACGACAGGACCATTTGGACGAGTATATGAGCACAGCTCAGAAAGGCATTGGAAACAACACCAGAGGGTCAAAACATCGTTTGCTCCTAGATAGAGCAGTTACCCAAGAATCAAGTCCTAGACAGACCAATCTGAGCATGGCCAATATTAAGTGTGTGACTCAATGTCACACATGTGGATCTGTGAATGCCTGGCACCATACAAAGTCAAGTAAGATTTCTTCTTAAGAACTCAGTGGGTCTGTGAAAGACAACACTGAAAGTCAACTCAAGCTAACTCGCACAAGTGCCCATCAAATGCAGCATACACTAAGTTGATGCACTGACTCTGCTGCTGTTCTGCAAAGGTTTGAGCCTCGTTAGCCAGATAATTACAAGGATTGGATACAGATTCAAGTTCAAGAGTGGAACTACCATCAACCATCTCCTCTGCATCAAGCTATATGCTAAGAGTGAACGAAACATTGACTTGCTAATCCACCTGACAGATCTAAAGAGAGGATATAGGAATCATTCAGACTGGAGAAGTGTGACCTCATGATAGTAATAGAGGAAATGTAGTTAAGACTGATGAAGTGGAACTGGCTCAGGAATTCTGGGAATTGAAGTCCACAGGTGGTAAAGTTCCCATAGTTACCCATTCTTGATCTAGAACAATATGTAATGTCTGTTGAATTGATTGAAATTAGAGATTGCTGTGCCACTGATTTATTGTAGATAAGTGGAAAAGTATCAAAGGAACCCAACATAACCATATTTTATTTCAAACAGGAATTTATTTAAAAAGAAATTAAGATGAAATGATTAATGCAAAATAATTTTAAAGGGGAAGCCAGGAGGGTTAAGTGCTTTTCAGCAGAAAAGCTTAACTAGCATTTATATCAAGTCCAGAATAAATAATAGCAAGTCTAATATTATCCTAAAATGCAAGACACAATATAATAATCTTAAATTACAAGGAGACCAATTTTGCTTAACATTAAGAAAATGGTTTAAAACCGTTTAACCACAACAGTACAGTTGAATCAATCATTGCGGACAGTCACTGAATGTTTTCAGACTGAATGGAAGAGGTATTTTAATTTGGATTCCTGCACTGGCTGATAGCCTAAATGACCCCTTTCAACTCTATAAATCTTAAGCTCAAGAGGTTATAAGAATAATTAATCAACACTATCAAGGAACAGAAAAAATGTGCTTATCTTTTGTTGGAAAGATAGCTGAAATAAGAAACAGATTTTATATTACAATTTAAAAAAAATGACTTAAAAATGTATTACTTGTAATTTAAGACTAAAAATATTTAAAATAATTTAATAGATCAGAGGCAAGAAACTCTGAACATAATTTCCTTGATACATTATAAGAGGATTAAAAGAATTCTAAATTAGAATAAAGGTTGCAAAGAAGTTTAATAAATTCTTTCATCTGTGTTCATTCCAGAGGATGTATGGCAAATATACAGAATATATTTTCATTAAGGGAATCTAAGGAACTAAAATGACAGGAGTCAAAATTCTAGATCATCTTGAGAAATTGAAAATCAACAGATCAACAAATAATTATCCAAGATTTTTAAAAATTCAAATGAGCAATTGCTGTAGGCTTGCTAAATATGAAAGAGGTCCTTAATTATGCAGCTGAATAATTAGGAAAAAAATTAAAATTAAAACTCCTATTATCAAACTCTGTTAAAAAGAACTATGTCATGTGATCAAACAGTACTTTTTATTTCTATATTTTTTGTCATTAGATTTCAAGAAGAATATTGTAAGATGGAAATGATGTAAGGTAGACAGATTATAAAATATGCTTGTCGTGTTTTGTGTCACCTACACAAAAGGAGACATAAAAATGTATAAGTGTATAGATAAGGAAAAGATACCAGTAGATACTTCATTGGATGCCTTTCAGTTATACTTTTTCTTTCTGTACTATTTGCTGGGAAGCATAAATGGTGGGGTTTCTATGACACAATATACTTTTCAAAAGGGGAGATAAATGTTTAAAATTCTCAGTTTCTCAGCTAGAAATAAGATTGGCTTATCCTGTAGAATATTTTCTCATAGCATTACAGTTTTGAATATAATAAACATATATTATGATATTGTTTAACATCCTCTAAATTTTATAGCTCCTGAAAAATACAGTATTTCTTATTTTGAAAGAATACTGAAGGTAACTTTGAATTAAATAGTGACTGCATTTAGTTAATGTAATTAAGAAATCTCTGAAATTGATAAATTGTGCTAATATATGAATAGCTAATATCTGCAACCGAAACTGGAATTGTCCAGCAAATCTTTATTGATGAATTCATTAAGGTAGGGCAGGGGTAGTCAACCTTGGCTCTTTTATGACTCGTGGACTTCAATTCCCAGAATTCCTGAGCCTAGCTGAGCTTAGCTGGCTCAGGAATTCTGAGAGTTGAAGTCCACGAGTCATAAAAGAGCCAAGGTTGACTACCCCTGAGGTAGGGCCTCTTTGAAATGTTTGCATTTCTTTTTTCGGGGCTGTTTGCATGACACCTACTCGTCAAGTAAGGCAAGACAGGATACAAAGAAGGTTGTATTCAACAAAAAATCGAAATAATAAAACAACATACCAGAGAAAGACTAAGGTTCAAAATCTGGTAATAATCAAGCAAGTTCACCAGTCACCTTGGCTCAGTGCCTGCTGGAAGAGCCATTTTAAAGCCTTCCTAAAGAGTCAAAACCATAAAGAGCTTTTGGGGAATGCTCTTCCACACAGCACAGTCAGCCCAGGATTTCATGGCCTTCTTGACAGCCACAGCTCTGTCTCAAATGGTAATGCATAGGTTGTCTCCCACCTTTAATTTTCGTCTCAGTGCTATTTTGTCATGGTCTCATAGTATCATTCTCTATGAAAGGAAAGGGAGCAGAGCTGGACCCAATCAAATATCCTGATATTGGGTTGCATGACAGAAAAGGCTCCCTTAATTAAGGCAGTCCTTAATAGACAGGAACAGAGTCATAGGATCTTTCTTTCTTCTTTCTTTTTATCCCACCAATAACCAGATTGAACCAGACTCAATAGACACAAAGCGCTAAAAATTTGGACAATTTATTGCGTTTTTGTATCTCCCTTCAGTGGCTGGGGCATGGGTGAGCCTTTTATTTTAAAACAGAAAAGCTTACAAATAAAAGAAAAGGTGTCTATAAATGATAAATGCCTTCAACTATTGTAGAACTGAATTTTAATAATAAAACTATTCTCTATTTTAACCATTGCCTATAAGTGGCTTTAATTTCCACTTTCCTGTTTCTTTTCTGTCCACGTCTTTACTTTGTCTTCATTTTTTCTGCTTGTTTATCCCTGACGGAGCACTTGGATTTTTTGCTCTTCTTCTAAAACTTTTCTCCCTCTGAGGGAAACAACTTGAAGAGTTACCTCACACCACTCAGAGGATTCAGGATAGTGTATAAAAGGATAATAGACTAAAACAATCAAAATCCATTCACTTCACTAAAATCAACATGAAATTAATTTTTTTTTAAAATGTCACGCATTATTTATAGCTAGATGTCAAATGTTTCTAGAAATAAGGTGACCAATCGTCCTCCTTTAGGGAGGACAGTCCTCCTTTTGTAAGTTCTGTCCTCTCTCGAAAAGTGTCCTCCTACATGTCCTCCTTTTCGATATTTGAAGACTAATCTGTAAATCTCCGTATTCGATCGATGCTGATCCGATCCGTGGCGTATGATGTGACGTATTTGTATTTGACATGACGATTTGTCAAGTACAGTGCGGCAAGGTGAGATTATGAGACGCATGCGCTCCGCACAGGAGAATTGTTTTGAGAGAGTGCACCACACGCAAGAGTGCGCTGCACGCAAGTAGCTTTGTTTACTTTTTACCGAAAAACGGCATGGCACACACGCACGAATTAGACTCACTTTTTTTTCTATAGTTTATTTGCATCCTCCTTCTCATTGTACAAAAGTTGGTCACCTTACTAGAAAGTATGATTTTAAGTATCTTCATAGAAGCACAGGGGCCCAGCACATCTCAGGAGATTACTTATTCCACAGAAGGGGGGGAAGCCCTGGAGAAGGCTTCCCACACCAGTCACACCTTTCTTCTCCAAATGAAATGCTCAGCACCCTATGGGCCTAATCATGTGAGGTAAAGGGGGTCCCTAAATTTACTAATTACTTTGTTTGTATTGTTGCTTGGTACTGTTTTAATTACAGTCATGCTGGCTCAGGAATTCTAGGAGGTTGTAAACTTGCCATAATTGCTCACCCCTGTGATATACAAAGCTCTATACATATATTAAGCAAATTATCTGCCCTTTTTCTCCATCTCTCATTGTCAGAGTTACAAAATAAGCTGAGCTTGTACTGGAAGTTTCAGCTGAGCCTGGAGGTGGTTCTGATATTAGGTACCTTCCTCCAAGATCAGAACTGTCTTTTTGACCACAGAGAGAGAAATCTGAAAAAACCCTTTTGCTTCTGAGATAGCCTGTCAGACCCAGTTGTACTGCAGTTAATTCCAGGGGGTGTTGTTTTGTTTTGTTTTTTCATCTCATGGTCTAGAAATTGAAACCAAATCTGTAAAGAAACAGTAGATCATTTTTCAAGCAGATTTTTTATCTGCCTTTTTTCCTGCCTTTTGTATTACATAATGATTGTAATTATATGAAACATGACAGTGTAAAAATTCTTACCTCCCAGGCAGAATGGTATACGTGCCAGTCTTCAAGTGTGAAATGGGGGGAAAGTCAAAATGGGTCTAAATATACAATTTATTTTTCACTTTAAAACAAGAAACAGAAAGTACATTTTTAGCTTTATGCTTATGAAACCATGCAGACAATGCTTTGATGAAATCTCAGAGGTCCGATTTCTAGTACTCAGCTCTTCATGCCCCCCAACACCAATCATTAGCAAGCACTGCAGAATAAATGTTGTTGGACAAGAGAATTAAATTCAATGCTCTTGATGTTTTGGTATTACACTTGGAGTTACTTAATTCACAATTTTAAACTCAGAGTTTTGCTTATTTGTGAAAATTTAGATGCTGTCATTTTAAAATCTTATTTGCCCTTTTAAATTTCAGACTTATCAATGAATCTCTGAGAGACCAATTACTTGTTACTATCCAGAAAACCTTCACCTACACTCGGACACAGGCCCAGCATCTCTTCATAATCCTTATGGAATGCATGAAAAAGAAGGAACTGGTAATGCAAATGTATTTAGTAACATAATGTTCTTATTGGTCTGTTATGTGAGAAATGTTTGAAACTTGGCTTTCTGGCTCATTTCAAACATAATTTCAGGTCTCAATTGCATGACACACGGCTAAGTCAAACTTAGATTGTCTCAAAATTGTAATTTAAAATCAGTATTTGAAAAGTGGGTTTGCATATCCTGGTCCTGTGCAATCCTTGTTCACCTTACCCATAATTAATATTAATGCTGAATAACACTAAATTAAGTAGTGTTCAATTATAGCTGAAGGAAGCCAAAGGGAATTTATGTACTTGAGTCACAAACATGAACATTTAACTGAGGGGGACTGAAAGAAGCAAGAGATTAGTGCATTCCTTGATTCCAGCCACGTCTCTTGGGAGGCCTCTAAAAAACACAATCAACGGGCTGTTGGCTGTTGGCTGTGGCTACCCACTTTTGTCTTACGACAAACAGTATTATTCGTTTGATTAAAGTCGCTTGTGAATATGAAAACTTAATTAATTTTGATAATGTTATTAAACACCAATTTGAATTTGAAAACCCTTAAAATAAAATGCTCACCAGACACTCTCTTGTCATTCATGTATAAGCAATTACATAAGTCTGTCTTTGCACTTCAGTTATTCCTCTTTTTTTACCTTACATTTACATTTTGTGATACAGCTCTTTTTGCAGTGCTGTTGGCTTCTGTTGATTAAGGAGCACCATTCTGTTAAATTGTTTATGCTTATATAAATCTAGGTGGCAGATGTATAAAAATTCATATTCAGAAACTAAGAGGGCTATTGAATCCCAGGGGCATGTGGCTATATTAAGGAAGTACAAAAAAACTATTTTGTTTGACTCCAGATAAAGGGAAACAAAAATATTGCATCTCTTTTTGGTATATATGAGATACATGTACTCTCTTTACTAAGAAAAAGTTCCAATTTTGATCTCCAAATTATTGTTGCAAAATCCCATTCTAAAAATAAACCATGTTAATAAATTCCAGCTGTTTTTTCATCTATATGCCACAACTAGTGGGAATATATAAGGAAAATGTTAAGTTAAACACAAATTTGGCCAATCACAATGTTAATTGTGAATCTGAATTAGCTTCCTTTTTTCATCTCAAAAAATTCAGTACCCACTACCAAGCAATATATGATGCTGGACTTTGGAAATTATTGAAGGCTTTATTATAATTAACAGCAGGCATGGATTGATTTTACTTATTTATTTATATCCCATCTTTATTATTTATATAAATAGTTCAAGGAAGTAAACATACCTAATGCTCTTTCCTCTTCCTATTTTTCCCCACAACAACTCTGTGAGGTGGGTTGGGCTAAGAGAGAGTAACTGGCCCGAAGTCACCCAGCCAGCTTTCATGCCTAAAGTGGACTAGAACTCAAAGGCTCCTGGTTTCTAGCCTGGTGCCTTAACCAATAGAGTAAATTAGATGGAGCAGGAATGGAAAATTTCAAAAGAAAAACCAGCAGGCAGATAGAACAGTTTAATCCTTTCCATAATCATATATCCCTGCCTTATGGTTAGGTAGCATAATATTAAAGGATTATGATTTAGCATTGTAATAGGATATTGTGCTTAATAATGGTCGCTAGCACCATTAAATTCACTGCTTGTCAATTGTGATCTGAACCCCTTTCAAGGTGGTTATAATGGTATATTCAGCTGTTTATAGTTTAGGTTCGATCCTACTTCCTCATACTCATGTCTTACAATTTAACACTCTGAATTGCATTTGGAAGCCAACTGGTAGCCAACATAACTCATGTGGTGATAATTACACATAGTCACACCAAAAGACACCTGTCGGCTCGTGCTACTGTATTTTGAACCAGCTCTAGCTCCCAGGTGGTCTTGAAGGGCATCGCCATGTGGAACACATTGCAAATATCCAATTCTAAGGTGACCAGGCCATAAGTAATTATCTGAAAGGCCTCCAGGTTGAGGAAGGAGTACAGGTAGTCCTCAGCTTACAACAGTTCATTTAGTAACTGTTCAAAGTTACAACAGCACTGAAAAAGATACTTATGACAATTTTTCATGCTTATGACCATTGCAGATGCTTGGCAACTGACTCATATTTATGACACAGTGTTTCAGGTTCATGTGATCACCTCTTGTGATCTTCTGACAAGCAAAGTCAATGGGGAAGCCAGATTCACTTAACTATGTCACTAGCTTAACAAGTGTAGAGATTTATTTAGCAACTGTAGCAAGAAAAGTCATAAAATGGGGCAAAGTTCAAAAAAGTTGGGCTCAATTGTGGTTGTAAGTCGAAGACTACCTGTATAATTGGCACACAAGATGAACCTGTGCAAAGATGCTCTCTGCCATAGCTGCAAGCTGCTCTTTGAGCAATAGCTGCAAATCCTGAAGGACCTACAAATTGTCCAACAGTCTTGAATAGGTAAGTGTATCCTCATCCAAAACTACATACTTGACATTCAGACAAACAGCACATCCACTAAGTCAAATTAAGATAGAGCCAAAGTCTATTCTGCCCCATCCAGACCCAAATAACCTCTAGACAACTGGGTCAATTCATCAGCACCTTCACCTGTGCAGCTTGAGATTGAGATGTAGAACAGAACAAGTGGATGACCTCACCCAGTGGTTTCATGCAAATGTTGAATATGAGAAGAAGAATATTGAGACTTAAGCCACCCCACATATGTTGAGCCATGGATGCAATCTTTCCCAGCTGAAATAACTGCTAAAGAAGGAGCTAAGCCATTGGAGCAAAGTGCCTTCCACTCCTAATTCCAGCAGGCAGTCCAGAAGGATACCACTATAAAACTGTCATACCAACAATCTTCCACAACTTTCCACCAAAAGGGAAGATTGGAAACTGGCTGATACAGTAATTATCCAATAGGAAAAGGTCCAGCAATGACCACTTGAAGAGGGGCCATGTCACCCCCTCTCTCAAAGAAATTGATGCCCCACTGCATCAACCCATCCTGTGGTCACCTCCCACACTGCCAGTGTCTGACAAACAGGTGGCTGAATTAACAAACAGAAGGACCTTGTCTATTTCCTTAGGTGTAACAGAAAAGTCCAGACAATATAACAAGACTGTACCCTGGCCAACTCACTAGGACTTGCCCAGTCACAATCCAACTCTGAGCAAATCTGAGTGATTTTGTCTGCCAGAGAGATTGAATATTCTTCATTGTGACCTGCAGGTGATTCTATGGCCCAGCCCCCTTCCTCAATTGGGAATGGAGCACCCTAAACAGGGCTGTTGGGTGGCTATTGGCAGACACAGTAAGGGTGGAGAAATAACAAGTCTTCCCTGTCCTTATTGCTACTACGTAGGCCCAAATATGGGTTCTTACTCTTGTTCAGTCAGGTTCGTTCTTTGTCTTTCTCCAACAGCACTCTAGGAGTCTCTGCTGGCATTTCATCTCCCAGTGCTCACTGGAAAACCAAGAGGGGATGCCAGGATCAGTGCACAGAAGGAGGCTGTATAAGAGAATCCAGTCCATAGTTTCAGTCACATGCCTATTCCAGCCTGCAGCCAGGTCCTCAGGTTCCAGGCTCTCTCTGGAACCCAACAGAGTTCATCAATCTCCTGTGGTGGGCCAAACTAACAAGTCCTTTATACATATTATAAAGTCACTTCATTCTGTGATTTTATGAATCAAACAATTATCATGTTTTTAAACCTGGCACTCTGTCATTCAAGATACAAAGAGTTCAGCAGAGGAACAAGGTCTTATTTTGCACTTAAGCAAAGTGTGCTTGGATACTTTCTGAACTTGCTGATATAAAAAAAGCTATTTATCAGCAATTGGCCTCTTGTTCTTTTCATAGCTTCATTTTCTTCTGAAACAGAATATTGCAAATCTCCCTTTGACTCATGTGTTTCTTTATCATGCTGTGCTCTTTCTTCCTGTCCTTCACAATGACTCTATCAAGAAAGCTTATCTTGTTTAGATCTTTCCACTGGATCAATAGATCAGATCTTATCAAATGACAAATACATTTTTGAAGATGGTGAATAACTAATTCTTTGGCAAGTGAAATGTCTTGCATAAATTAAATGACAGTCCTTGATCTAGGAATGTGAATGTGTGGTTCAGGGTGAAGGATATTTTTGCTTCAATGTTATGAAACTATTTTGCTTATTTTTTTCTTTGGTTGGATAACTTTAATCTTGCAGGTATTTTAAATATAAGTGTTAAAAAATTTGCACCATGACAGTTTATTATCTATTTATTTTTGTTGAATTGTATAATCCAGGCACAAGGTGACCAAGGCAAAAAGGGCCGTGTGCCACCCAGTCCAGGATTGGATACAGCTGCTCTTGAAATGAATTTGTGCAAAAGCTTTCCTGGTCATAACTGCCACCTGTTCTTTGAACAGAGGCTGTTGGTCTAGGAAAACCATCAGATTACTCACCAATCCCAAGCAATACATCCAGAGATCCAAATGGCCACAGACAACCAATTTTCTCCCTGTTCAGATTCTCCCAGCCTCATGACACTGACAGCATTCCTTAAAATGGGGTCAAGACTGGGCATTATCAGCATACTGATGATACCTGATCCCAATGAATGGATGACCTCAACCAGTGGCTTCATGTATATGTAAATTATGCAACCAAATATGCCCAATCCAATAAGAGCCCCACTACCCACTGGGTCCAAGCCTGGGAGGAAAGCCATATTTCTAAGGACTGTTTGAACAAATGTAGAGTAGAGAGAGGAACCCTGTGATAAGAGTATTGACCCTTGTATCATCCCTTCCTGCACAGAAAGGAGAACCACCACAAACAACATCATGCTTCCCACTCTGAAGCCAGTCCTGAAGGTAATAATGACCAATGAAGTTGAAAGCCACTGAGAGAGAAAGGACAATCAGGATTGTTACTCCACTCTTGTCCCAGTTCTGCCCAAATCATCAATAAGTGCAGTTGATATTTTATCAGTTTTATGCTGAAGTGTGAAGCCTAAGTGAAAGGGCTAGTTAC